AGGCGGGTTCCCATTCAATATGGCATGGCAATAGTTTGAAGCAAATGTCTTGTCAATATTGTCAAGACTCACGCAATGATTCTTTGTTAAAGAGAGATTTTCTATTCAAGCTAAACTTGATCTCCATTTAAAAAGAACAGAAGAGACCATGAAATAAAATAAAGAACTATTGCCATGCAATATTGAATGGGAATCAGACTTAATTCAATATTGCACTTTAGAACGAAAGCTAATTCATTAAATGCATCTTAGGAGGTAAGGAGTGTGGGTGTCGGTGTAAGTTTAGAAAATAACTATACTCTACACCCACACCCTGTGTGAGTGTGAGTAAAGGAAAGCTCTATACCTACACCAATCCCACTCCGCACACCCGCACTCAACATTTTGAGTTGGAAAACGGGGAGAATCTTCTTAAGTCTGCATGAAAGATATTCTCATGAAAATGAATGATATCCAATAATCATGTCATTATTTCGATGTCTTAATACAAATGTGGTGTTTTTCCACGTGGGATTTGAGAATCAACTGAATTTATTTGCTAGAGACAAACTTCCATAGAGAAGATTCCCTAAAATTAGTTTGACAGATAACCACTTAGAAAATCAAATATATCGTCTGGACTCTCAAAAACTTTAACTTCTTCAGGAAGATCTTGGATTCGCTCCAAGAATGCTATTGCACTTATAGTATAAACCAAAATTGATCTTCGTCCAATAGCAAGGTCGTGAAAAAGTTGCGCGATATCAGTAAAGGATTTTGATTCGGATCCATAAAACGGTCGACATATTGTAATAAATTTTTTGCGTTGTCGTATGTCATTTGCGTTATCCTTTAAGTATTTTCGTGCGTCTTTATAAGTTGGTTGAAAATTGATTTTCACTAATGGATAATTTCTTTTAATTTCTTCGATTAGTCTTGGTTCATTTTCAGGCGAATCAATCCAGAGAAGCATTGCACTTTCTAAAGAAGTGCTTAGTATACCACTAAGTATTTAAATAAATGTGACAAAGACAGTGCTGAGGAATTGGTTGTATACCTCTTCGCTAAAAAGCATTTCATCGAAAGACTCTTAAAAGCTGTAGACTGCCGCGAACCCTTTAATTCCTGCATAGACTTGTCAAACATGACAAGATCAATTCATTTCCCCCTCATCATTACCTTTGCAGAACCCTCCGTGGCCAAAAAAATACTTTCGATGTTGTGTTTTTCTGCGAAGAGAATACATACCGATGAATTCGCTGGAAAAAAAATTCGGATTAAGAAAGGGACGAAAACTATGACTAATTGGAATTCAATGAACTATCTTCTGTTGGTTATCATACTGTATGATGTTGCTTTTAAGTCTACAAAGTAAAGTCAAATCCATTTTTGTCTTTAAAAACAGTTCATCGAATAATGGAATAGAATCAGAATCGTTTAATATGATTGACAATAACACTTGAGTATGGATTTTTTCTATTACTTATATAGTCAACTACATTACTATACCTATCAATTCTTAGTCAACCATGAATACAATGCAAACATATTATACGCAAATCTCAGTCAAAAGTAAGCAGTTCTAGACTAGAATCGAAATCGACTGTTCCCAACCCAGTAGAAAACTCACATTCCGTAAGAAAAATAACCAAGATTGTCATAGATACTAAGTAGTATATATCATATATGTTAATATTTTTATAATATGTTATCGACTGAATTAGTTTGAAATGTGAAACATTCTAATTGTGATAGATTGATTAATTGTAGTAAGTGTGCTGAGAAAATGGTGAAGATTTTTAATAGTGATAAATATTGAAATTGCTTCAAAACTTTTGAAAGATTTCTCATATCATATGTTTCTTTCTGCATGTAGGGTGATAATAAAAAATACTAAAACAATAAATGATTCACAGATATCTGTAAGAGATACAATTTCCAAAAATATGAATTTCTCAATGCCGATAAAACTCGATCTTGTTTCAGTTGGTATAATCAATCACATCGGGATGAATTAGAGATATACTATAGTAGAAAGAATTTTAAACATAAATGAAACTCATTTCGAGATATATTGAGCCATTGATTTTTAAGAATTCTTTTTTTCGAATTCAAAAAACAAATAAAACCGAGAACTAAATGTCTTACAGATCTCTTGACCAATCAAGCTGAAATTTATTTTTAATTCCATATAGTGCGAGTGTGGCTGTGGGTGTGGGTGTCTTTTCTAGTGTACACACACACATCCACATGCTGCCCTAGCTATTTTTTGATATATAATGTATATAAGTAAATGAACGACTTAATATTGAAATATAAAACTTTTTATTTTAACGGCAACGAAATTCTTCTTCGTAATTGACGATGTCAGTCAAGACTATCACAATTGACAGAATTCTTTTTCGCAAGTTGCTTTTGATCTATCCCGCATAGATCGAACATAAAAGGAAAAGAATGTATAATGATGTTATCATATAGTAAAAACAATAATTCGCTAGCTTTTAAACAGCCCTTATGTATACTATACGAAAAACGAAAAACATTCAATGATTATGGTATATACGTCACTATGTAAAAGTACCAATGTAATTGCACAATAACAGTTAGTTCTATCATAAAGATAGTCTAAACGTAATTCACTTTTACAGGTTTTCTGCAAAGGTGACTTCTGTCATTTTCGAGAGTCATTCTTGGTTGACATTGTCCATTACAAAAATTGTCGCTGCTGTTAAAATAAAACGTTTTATATTTCGATGTTAAGTCATTCATTTATTTATGTATATCCTATCTTAGTTGTTTTACAAAACAACTGATCGGTAGAAAAAAGTGTTTGATATTGTTTTCCGCTTCTTTCTAGAGTCCGTGATGAAGATTTGTCTATACCAGGAGACTGTTCGTAGAAAGCTAAGGAATGTGAATTGGAAAGCCTAACTCAAAAATTGTATTCATTTTTTTGCGAAAGACGATGTGTTGTACACAAAAGTGAAGTCGAATAATGAGAGTTAAGTAACTAGAATAAGAATATTTATGCAAGAGAAACATACTATAACGTAAAGTTATTAAGAAAATGAATAGTCCGTCTAGAAATGTATCAAATGTACAAAAACTCGTTTTCGACTTTAATCTATTTTAGACTTATAAAAAAAACTCAATGAATATTTCTATTTTACTTACCTTTATCAGATTTTATTTCTGGTGATGGTAGAATATCATTGCTACCAAATGGCGCATCTATTGAATATGATACTTGATAACCTGGATTCCATAATCGTTCTGCATGAATTCCGACAAATTCTTTTACTTGAAATTCATTATCTGTTGCAACAACATTTGGAAACTCGAGTGCTGCTCGTACTTCTTCGTGCTTATTCGTAAATATTAAAACAGGTGTATTTGAATATATAGAACGAGCAGCTCTAATGATAGCGATTGTGGTTTTATCATTTTCTATTGTCCACAGAGTAACAACTTTAAGTCTAATATGTGACTGTTTAAGTGACTCTTGATTAGCTACTAACCATTGTTTAGCTTTTTCTATTGTTTGAAAAGAAATCATTTGACAATCATAATCTTGATTTGCTGATGATCCAAGAGTATGTTGTGAGTTTTCAATATCTTTAAAAAGATTTACAATATTTTGAGTACTGTTGTCACCTATAATCCATAATATTTTAAAATTATAACGAATCCTAATCAAAGCACGACGCTGAAAACTCGGACGTGTTATTTTAGGTACAGGTAAAAATTTAATTAAATTATCAGGAAATGTATCTTCAACACGAATTTCATCTTCACTCATTTCTCTTGTTGGCCATGGATTTGCTAATGCTAATTTTGCAACAGCATATGGTGCTATGCGATTCGATACAGCTTTCAATTCATCATCCGTAATGGGTCTTAATTTATGTGGCCATTCCGGATTGTTTTGTAAACGATCTCGAGTTTCTGTTAATTTGCCAATTAATTCTTGTATATATCGTTTATAGCAAACTGTGAGAAATACACATGAATAAAATTCTTCAGCAGAGTTATCGATCGGATTAATCAGAACACGTAAGGAACGACTTTGTTGTTCACGTGCTCGAAGACAGGCCATGAAACCTTCATAATCAATGAAATCAACGAATCGTAATGGTTTACGTATATTTATTGAGTTCTGAGAAGTGCATACTCGAAAAATATTACGTGCTAATGCCATAGCAGCTTTCATTCCACTATTCATTCCACGACCAGGCCAAAAATGAACACACATTGCTGCATCTCCAGCAAGAAAAGCTAACACAGTTTTGTATTTCTTCTTATGAGATTCTTCGGGTTTTCTATCAGTTTGTTCAACTTCATATCGAAGTTCACGAACAACGATTGATGCGTGACGAACATTGATTTCAATGGGTACAACACGAAAGACATATTTTTGTGGTATTCTAAACAAATCTAAACCTTGTCGAATAATAGTCCAGACGGGCGATTGTGGAACTTTGTCAATATCTACTAGATTTAATGATTCATTACGTGATTGAAGTTCTTGTAAATAATTCCGTAAATCATCATATTCATCTTGAATCAGACGAATATTTAAATAACCGCGACGACTTTTTAATGAATCAACTAAATAGCGTGTCTGAGAAACAGTTAAAATACAATTAAGAGCTTGATGAAGAGGTTCTTCTAATCGTGGAACATTTTCTGGAATATTATAAGCGACACCACATGCATACTCAAGACCTTCACTAATCATTTGAATATTACAATAGCGACGTACAAAAGAATTAGCACCATCCGTACCAACCAATATATCGAAATTTCCTACGAACAAAAATTTAATTTAATAAAAATAAAATAAAACTACCTTTTACGAGACATTCTGATTGCTCATGCAAATTTTCTGGAATGAGCTCAACTTGACCACTATGAAGAAATGGTTGTATCAAATCAAAAAGACGATCTTCAACTTCTTGTATTGGAATATTTCTTGATGTTGGCCAAACACGTTCATTAATATTCTGAAAAAGACCTAATTGAATGTATTCAGGCATTTGTTCGATAACATGATCTTGTAATGTAACACTTGATCACGACGTATTTTATTTTGTTCTTCACCTTGCCAATGTATGTGACCTTGTTCATCTGCAAACCAGCGTCCTTCATAAATAAATATTTTTACATGTTTACCCATCATCATCATTAAATGTAGTACAAATGCGAGACCAACTGGTCCACCACCAGAGACAATAACGATGAGGTGTTCATCATCGTCTACTGTTGCTGACATTTTGATCTAAAAAATAATATACAGCGTGAAATAAAATGTCCTTTGTTAGTTTTTCTTTTCTGTAGCAAGAAAAAAGAGGAAGTGAAAAAGGAATTTTACATGCAACTCAAACGAAGAAATATAGCCGTCCACCTGCAACATCTTATCCTTGCATGCTTTTAGTGAGTATCAATGAAGCAAATTTATTAACCAATCACAATCCGTATTGGTAAAAAACAGACCTTACGTTGCCTTTCGATTACATAGGGGTATCCAAAAGTAGTGGCAACGACATTTTATTACCACACATTAAGGTTGAGAAAAATTTATGTTTACATAGGATGATAGAGCGAAAACAGCTCCTTCTTTCTACGCTATTTGATCATACTTCAGGTGACATCATAATAAAAAAATTCTAATAAGACTAGTTTGCCTAACATGTGTCGCGGTTACAGAAGTTCATATTGTCTTCAATAGGCATTTTCTTCTTGATCTTTTCTTTGCTTTTCTTCTTTCCTTTATTCTTTCCTCTCACCTTTTTTGAGACTTTAACGTTCATTCAGATTAGCACATCCGAAAATTGAAAATACATAAACAAGTTCAAGTAGTTTTTATTTCATTAAATGTTCAAAGTAATTGCCTTGATTATCTACACACTTGGGGCAAGCTGGATGCTACCAAGCAGGTCCACAGGTTGCGGATAGTGGAATGGCCATTAGTATGATGGTTAGCTGCGAATAAGATCAAGTAATTGATCAAATAAGCAGTCCCGGACAATTCAGCCATCGTGCCAACAGGGTGTCGTGGGGTTTTGGGTGGCACCAAAACACTTATAAAATGCCACAGAAACTCAACGACGGCAAGATGATACGGCGAGTAAAGGTCGTCCGAAGCAAGGTTCATCCGAGCCGAGTTTCTATAAGCCTTAGCCAGGGTACTCCACCATGGGAGTCGCAATCTTGCGACTTCTGTGCCGGTCGCAAGTCAGGAAAAAGGAGCAGCGTTGGATAGAAAGGGGTGCAGATACCGCTATCTGTAAAAAACTCAAAGACGGCAGAAACCAAAAGATGAAAGTCAATGATCTTAATCCATACCGGCTCGGACGTCGCCCGGGTCAACAAGGTCCGCGTCCTCTGTCGGGTGACCAAAGCAGAGTCGAAAAGGTGGTTACTGGAAAAGCTTCCAACACCAAAAACTCAAATACAAATAACACTGTAGCTAGCACCAATGAAATTAGATTAAGGAAAGAAATATTAACAATCGGAACATGGAATGCTAGAACTCTATGGGAAGCAGGAAAATTAGATCTGCTCAGACATGAACTAAAACGTTTCAGATACGATATAATTGGTGTTTCAGAAACTAGATGGACAGAAAAAGGAGAAACAGCTACTGGAGATTTTATGTGGTCAGGTGATTCCCAAGTCCATTTCCTATCTGCTTTA